AATATTTTATTAATTTTATTAATATTAATATTAGCATTGATATTAACATTTTATTTTCTTTCATTCCTAGAACATGATTAAAAATGCTTCTAATTACTTGTTTGTAACAACAAAACATCGATTTTTCTTCAAGTTTGTAAAAATTATAATTCCTAAAACATGGAAGAAAAACACCAACTATTCAAGATTAAAAACAGAATCATATGATAAGGTATGGTTTAGAGAACTCTCTGTGATTAGAACAACAAGGAAAAGCTAGATTGATAAGGCTACATTATGAATCACAGCAAAATCTAGGACTGATCCTGGAAGTTCTTACTCAAAAATGTTGAAAGCCGTTGTAGGATTAAAGAAAGAATAAAAATTGCAGGACTGAATTTATTCAGGAATCGCGTAACTGTGCTCTACACCCATACCATGTATAACTTTGATCTTACTTTTTCAGGCAGATGTCATCATTGCAGAGCCTTATATGAAACATGCAGATGATCCTTATACCTTACAGTATGGAGGATGTAAGGAGAAAGGACTGTACATCCATTTCACACCTAACTTCCTGTTAAATGACAATTTGATTAATGTTTATGGAGAAAAAGGTAATATTACAATTTAATTTAATTGCCTGTTTTGTTGCTCATATGAAATGACCAAGATTTTTCTACGTGATTAATGAATTTGGGCCCTTTAATTTGCTTGCTAAAATGAAAAAACTTTGGGAGACATATTTTTCAGAAGTAGTAAATACCTGTAAAACATCTGAAGTTAAATATTCAAACACTGCCATTAGCAGTAGCCTTCCTTTTACGACCATTTACCAAATAAACTATCCGGTGTTTGTGTATCTGATTTTGTAGGACACTATGCCTCTCAAAAAATGTAAGGTTTGGTGCTCTGTAGGACAGAAATCTCACAAAACCTAAATTTCCTTAGGACATTTTTGCCAACTTGGAAAAAAGCCTCTAGAAAAGTTCCTGCATTTCTAAGAGTCAAATATAAATAAAAATTCTAGTCCTGGTTCCTAAACTGATGCCTTTCTTTGCCTCAAGGAAAAACTATTATCCCGATTGCTTAAATATTTCACAGTCTTCCTGTATTACCTTAGGTAATGATTATTAATTGTTAAAATGTCTAAGTAAAACACTGAGTAGCTTTTAAACCGTTGTACCTAGAATGTGCATGTTCTCTTTTCCAACAGGTCGAGTTTTTGTCCATGAATGGGCTCACTATCGGTGGGGAGTGTTTGATGAATATAGTAACGACATGCCTTTTCATGTGTCTAGAAATTCTGAAGGAGCAAGTATTGAAGCAACAAGGTATTATTTTTTTTCATATTTCTGCTCTTACATTACACAAGTTTAAACATTTCAACAACGTTTTCAATGCTCTCGTCGTCTGTGCCGAGTTTGTGCTTTGTGAAGTGTGCACAACCTGTTTGGATGACTAAAAGATGCTTAGTCAGCAACATTTATTGCCAGGCCTGCAGCCCAGAAAGCCACAGGTGCCTTCGGTGCTGTTTTGTAAGAGGTTCAGGAGATCAGGCCAGATAATCTTTAGCTCTGCTTGCAGCTGCAGGCTTCAGCCACCATTTGTTTTGTACTTGTTTAACCTAATTTTATTGAAGAGCAGTTATCAACAACAATGAATTGCCTACTGAAACCGCTGTGATTTTAAACATTTTCTACAAAGAAGGAAAATAAGTGAATGGATGTAGAGAATTAGTTCAGGATGTAGAGAGTTAGTTCAGGCTTGCCATTTTTCCTAGCTCAGGCATACCAATATAGTCTTTTGTATTGCAGCTACTAGCAGGATGACTTTCCTGCACAGCCCATAATTATCATAAAGAAGATCACACAAGACCACAAGAGTTTTATGATTTTAACTATTTCTAGATTAGTTTGAGGACTCTGCCAGGCACAGAGACAGCCCACCTGTGTACTTGTACAGTGTCTAGTACAGAGCTGTGTCAACAGCAATTTGGATTAGGGCAGCCAAAATTCAAACAAACAACCAGTTACAGGCTATATATGGGTTCTTAATCAGCCCTGCCTATCTTCTTTTCCCTTAGCTGTCCAGCTGGTGTGGCTGGTATACCTGTTTTCCCAGACTGCCTTAGAGACACGTGTGAGACAAGAAGCTGTAGATACGATGGTCAGCTATATGAAAAAGGATGTATATTTATTCCAGATATACGACAAAATATCTCATGTTCTGTTATGCATATGCAATACATGCCCTCTGTAAGTATTATACCTTTCTGGACATTTGGGGTCGTGTCAGCTATTTCTGCTGAGGAGATTGATCAGTCAGGTGTTTCTTTAATTAATTTCTGTTTCAAAGAATATGGATGATATTAAAATCTGTTCAAAAGGGAAGACAAAGGAGCTACTGGAAATTATTTGACAGCTGCTTCCTTTCAATAAGGGTGAGATGTACTGCAGCCTCATTATCCTTCTTGCTCTGTGTTTGTAGAATCAGGTCAATGGGCATAAAAGTGAAGCATTTTTGCCAAATGCCTTGTCCATAAGATAACTGTAGGTTTTGATCACTCCTTATGTAAACTGGTGCCTGGATTGTGTTACCTGGTTATCTCTATTACACTCCATTGCAGAGCAATCTGGTCTGTCTACCTATCCTTAACACAGAAGCAGCTGCCCACCTCTCTTGAAACCAGCCAGGACAACCAGGCAGGCCTCCTTTTCCAGCTCTGTACTGTTCCCGTGCCTGTGAGAAGGTGCTGGGACAGGGGTTAGCAGGATGGACAGACTCCTTGCAGGCTAGATCCCTGTGGTACGGAATCACAGCTCCTCCAGCTACTGACCTTATTTCTTTCTAAAGCTCTTTCCAAGAACTTTATGGGTGTCCTGGTAGAATACAGTTAGAATACAGCTAGAATACAGTTAATTTTCTCCAGGGCAGATCATATGGTGCTGTGTTTTAGATTTTTGACCCAATAACGCACGTTTCTCACTCTACCCTGCCTATTGAATAGACTGGGTGGTATGCAGTAGGCTGGAAGGGGATACAGCCAGGAAGATGACCTGAACTAACCTAAGAGATATTCTGCACTACAGAATGTCATATTCAGCAATAAAAGGGAAAAGAGGCAGTTTTAGGAGGGTTACCCATCTTATGCTCAGGAACAGGCTGGGTATAGGTCTGTCCATGGGAGGTGGCGAGTGCCTTTGCATCACTCATTTTGTTTCTTCTCTCTTCTTTCACTTATCCTTCACTTATTAAACAATTCCTTTTGCTTAAAAATTTTCTTTGCTCTCCCTGGGGAGGGGGAGGAAGTGTGGTGCTTCTCTGCGCACCGGCATTAGCCCACAGCAGTGGGTCACAGCCTTCCCGCAGCAGTATGCAGTGGACATCCTGAGACATCTAAAAGATTATTTCCTGCTTCTCTCAAAGTCTTGAGTTTGTATCTTTTGCATGTTTCCTTATTGCACCCAAGAAAATGTATAGGAACTAGTTCAAGACCATCAGCTTAACCCAAGAAGTCAGTTATATATTCAGGCTGCTAACTTGTGCTGACCTCCGTGCTGTTCAGCTACAGTACCTGTGTTTGCAGGCTTACACCTCATAGGACCTCCATGAATCAGTCACCCCAGGGATCAGGTTGAGAGCTTTGTTTCTGCTTGTCACAACACGCTTATGTAAAATCTGAGATAAGTTCTTTGGGAGCACTTTCTTCGCTTGCCTAAGAACCTGGCTGGCCAGGCACCATGGCACAGAGGACACTCGTGGAGAACAACCTACGTGTGTCCTGGCCCCCACCACAAACTTCCTATTTTCCAAGATACTTTCTTATGCTCATAGTGTTGGGTTCAGAATTATTATCAGCTTCAATCTGACTTTTTAGGTGGTTGAATTTTGTGATAAAGACACTCACAATAATGAGGCTCCAAATATGCAGAACAAGATATGCGACCACAAAAGCACATGGGAAGTAATTATGGAATCTGATGACTTTTGCAACTCGGCTGTTATAAATGCTTCTGTACCTCCTGAGACTACCTTCAGGCTACTGCAGGCCCAAGACAGAGCAGTCACTTTAGTACTGGATGTTTCTGGGAGTATGTCACTGGTAAGAATTCGTATTTTATAAGAAATTTTTAGGAAAAATTGTAAGAAGCAGAAAAAGTTACAAAACAAGCAAACAAATTAAAAAATCAGTTAAATCTGTACAAAACTTGATTATTTTAGAAAAAAAAAGGACTAATCTTCTTCTCCTTGGTAATTTTATGGAGAAGTTCCTACATGATCCCATGTAAAAATACTGAGAGTTGTAAGCCAGACTTGGTCTTTTTTTTCTTGAAAAATCTCAATTTTTTATACTTTACTTCCTTTGTTCCAGACCTAGAGCAGTGCCATTGCATTTCTTCCAAGCAGAAAATGTAACACGGAGCTTCACATTTCATTTTTGTTATTAATTATTCTAAAATTTCAAGTAAATATGTAGGTCACAATATGTCAATAAATTAGATGTTCTCTCCTCATTACAATATTGCTCTTTGCAATCAAGAATGTGAGCTGGCATAATCTTATGTCATTTTAACAAGGCTGAGGTTATTTTTCCTTTTTTTTTTCCCCTAATATTTTGCATAGGTTTATTCATTCCCAACCTTGTGGGGCATGAGATACTAAGCCTGCTTATGGATACGGTTTAGTAAAGATAGCTAAAAATGTGCTTATTTGTATAAATATCCTAATATTTTTATAAAGCTGTAAGCAATGTGATCATCTGTGGAAAGATGACAAAATTATCTGGGTAGGTAAGGCAGCTACCTCATGATTTTTAAAAGACTTCAAACTTGTATGCATATTCTAACAACTTTTAAATACCAGTCTGTATATTCTTTTGATGACATACTGCATTTTCTTATCTGTAACTTACCTTTCCCACAGTTCAGTAGTGAGCCAATTACTCCATTATTGAAAATACTGCAAATTCGGTATTTCATTTCTCATAGGAATTCAAGCCTAAAAATAAGACTATTCATCTGAAGAAGGTAATCCAAAAAGCTCAAACATGTTGAGAAATATTCTTAAATATTTAACAGTCATACCTTAAGCCAAAATACATGTGAAAAAGCAAAAAGCAGTATATGCTTCAATTCTTTAGTTATGGCATACATGTAATAATTGTGGGATTCTCCCATAGTGCTTCATCAACATATCTATTTCCAGACATGCCGTTCTAGTCCAGAGCTGTTCTTGAGACTGATCTTCAACAAAGATCTGCAATTGTAACAAATTCTATTATTTTTATAGCATAGATGTCTACCAATCATAGTACATTTTATTAGATCAGTTAGCAAATAAGAATCATGTAATGCTAAAAACCAAAATGAAGATAATTATTAAATAAATACTGCAAGAATAACTAGCTCTTGAGATAAATGTTTTCAAATATAACTTTTTTTTCAGTAATCCCTTCAAATATTTGTAATTTAAAAAGTCATACTTTTACTTCAACTTTTTTTTTTTTTCCCCCAAAATAGTTAGTCTGGAGACTAACCAACTCCTCAGGCACTGTTTCTGTTGTCCTTTTCTATGGCCATCACACTACCAAAACAAAAAACGTGACAAACATCTTGATTAGGCATGAGGTTGGAAGATGGACTTTGGACATCAAAAGATGGACTTTGCCTGGTGACATCTTTCCTGGAAATTGCAGTTTACTGCACTTTCACAATACCAGAATACAGTTTACATCTCGTCTTTTCTGGAACTGAGCATACATATGCATTACATTATGGCTGATAGTTTTTAATTTTTAATTACAACCTGATCAAGATCAAAAATTTCTATATTTTGTTCAGTCATAGCTTTCCAGAAGACATTGCATTCTAAAGATGTTGGTTTTCTCTACATACAGCACCACCGCATCAGACATCTCCGTAGCGCTGCAGAGCTATTTCTGCTCCATATTATTGAAATTAGTTCCTGGGTTGGAATTGTCGCGTTTGACTCTCATGCATCTGAAAAAGCTCCTTTGGAACAAATAACCAATGACACAGCACGCCAAAAACTTGTTCAATGTTTGCCTACAATTGCTAGTGGACAAACCAATATCTGTGCAGGAGTACGTAAAGGACTGAAGGTAATGTACAATGTGAAAATATCTCCTGGAACATATGGAAAATTAGGAAGAAGTGAGAAACATAATAGCCCACTGAACACGGACTTCCTATGCGATGGTAGGGTTAAGTAAGATAATATGATTCTTGAATCTATCAGGAGAAAAATTGGTATAAAAACTATTTGGCATTACCATTATATGGCCTTAGAAAGAGTACTACCAGAAAACAGGCCAGATGTGATGTCCACGCTTCAAAAAGGATATTGAAAAATAAGATCAAATTCCAAAATGAACTACAAGAATTATCTAAATTTTGGAAAATCAGATTTCTTGTTGGAAACCTATGAAGCTCATTCCATTTAGGTTGTTGGTTTTTTTAAAAGGAAGAAGTTAATCTAATATATTTTTTAATTACTTCTAGTGGAAAGAAATATGCAGGGATAAACTCATGGCCCAGTCACGTTGCTGAGTGTATATGCAGAGAAAAGGCTGCAGACCAACACAACAACAAACATCGTATTGTATTCCTGAGAATTCAAGATTTTTTTCTAGAAAATATGGATTGAGAAAACATCAGGGATCTGACATGAATCACAATGAACATATAGAATAAATGGGGGGTCTGGCAACTAGACTGGGATGGAACAGGCAGGACAGAGGCTACCCTTACCCCTTTCTGCCAACCTTCATTTAAGTCAGAGTCCACCCTTAGACAGAAGCCTGCCCTTCTCTACTCCTGCAATTTTGATTGGAGTTTAAAGAGTAGCTCCAGCCAGTGGACATAAGTTTTTAATATGATGCCCTTAAACTTCCAGTCTCTGAACCAGCAAACCATAGACAGGCAGAATGCTTCTGACATTTTCGATCTGGGACAGGTTCCTTCCCTGGGAAATATAAATGAAATATTCATTATTTATAATTGACACTAAATCTAAGCAATTAGATGTTGCAATATCAACTGCAATAATTAATACTGTAATCATTTAGTGTTAAATAAAAATTCAAACACTTATTAAAGAACAAAGTTGTCATATTTGAAGTGAACATTTTTAAATGCATACATTGACTGTGCTCTGGGATAAACTAGTATTTAAAATTATTCTGCTGCTTATATCATTAATTCTTTCATTGATGCAGTTAATTGCAGATAAAATGAATACTACGTATGGTTCAGAAATTGTGTTACTGACAGATGGAGAAGACTCACATATAGCAACTTGCCTTGATATTGTGGAACAAAGTGGGTCCAAAATTCACACCATTGCACTGGGGCCATCAGCAGCCAAAGAATTAGAAGAATTTTCAGAACTAACGGGTAAATATCCTAATGCACTCTTTCTCTGTCATGCATATTCAAGTAGGAAGATGTAAAAGCATGGCAACTCATCACTCTGGAAAAAAGAAATTTAAGAAATTTAAAACAAATTTAATTTTAAAGAAATCTGGGGTACATATGACAGACTTTTTTAATACAAAAAATCAGAATTCTTTAGATCCATAGATTTGCTTTAGGAGCTGTCTTGACTTAAGAAATTCAGTAACATGACAAAACCCTATTACTATGGAGATTTAATGATGTTGTTTTATAGCATAATAAGAAATTACTGCAACTTTCTATATGCTTTAGCTTATCATCATTTTTATTACATAAAAAACAATAACTTTCTCCAACTGTTGTGCTGAAGTGTGCTGGCTAGGAAATCGTAAACACAGTGACTACCTTTGTCATCATCAAGAATGAAAGCTCCTTGCGTAGATCTAGAAAGCAAGCTGACTCCAAACAAATATGGTGAATAAATATTTTTAGTTGAGAGATGCACATGCTCTGCATTTTTAGACTACCATCCACTTGTTTTAGCAATTTTGATAACTTGGAACGTCCTTACGCACTCTTCAACACCATTAGATCAACATGACTATGGGAGAGTCCAGAGCTGAATTCTCTTCTGGCCTGTGTGTTAAGACAGAATTTGCTGTTTAAGCTCCTCCTGCAGAGTATTTAAGAATGATTTGTGAGTCAGAAAGAACCCAGATGGTCCTTCAGCGTGTAGTCTTCAACCAGCAGGAAGCTTAGAAACGTAAAATCCATTTTCTAAAGATGCTGAATAGATCTCTGAGCTAACACCTCCTCCAGCTCATACGACTCCATGTGTGCGCTCACAAGGCAGAGCCACACACCTGATGTAACCTGCACGCCTTATGTCAGCCTCTGCCCGAGGGGCGGGGGGCAGAGGCATTGGGTGGTAGGGAGGGGCAGTGGGCTCACCCTGGCACACTGCCCTGGGCAGTCTGTCCCTACACTGGGGTTCCAGTGACCTGCACGTCAGGAGCACAGCGGTGGCTCAGCTTTTGTCTGGCACGTGTGAAGATAGTTTGAGAGAGAATTGCAACAAAGGTATGAAGTGCAGAGGCTTCAGTAGAGCAGAGTGGAGCCATATTCACAATGAACTCACCAACAGACCTGCCCTGAGCACAAGAACCTCCAATGGACTCGAGCTGCTTGAACTCATGAAAAGAGGTTTGAACTTCACATTTGGAAACACATGATCTGGATTTTAAGAGTCAAAAAGCATGGAACGCAACTGTGTCCTTTCTACAGTGGTATTTGCAGAACAGAATTTCACTGAAGGGGTAATCCAAAAGTAGTAGGAAAAGTCTAAAATTGCTGTACTTGATGATATGCTGCAGGGAGTGATTTTTTTTTTTTCAAGCTACGTCAGTGATAGATAAAATGAGTTGAACACACAATTCAGAATTTACTATGACACATCCATTACATTTCCTTTTTCATTTCGTAAAAAACTGACTGCCTCAATAGAACATTCATCACCAGAAGTCACATAAAATTTAGCACATTTATAGTAAAAAATAGTATTTCTACTTCTTTTGCTCTTGTCTTTCAGGAGGTTTAAAGCTTTATGCTGTAGATGGATTCGTCCCCAGTAAATTAATTGAGATGTTCAGTGCAATTACATCAGGAAGTGGAGATATTTCTAAACAATCTCTTCAGGTTTGAATTTGAACATTTATTTCCCTATGCTTTTAGTTGATCAGTAATGGAATTAATCTAGAAAAAAAATCATTATAATCTTCAGAGGCTTAATTTTGTAATAGGAGCAAGTACCTTTTTTAGTGATCTCCTACATTTCACTGCAATGAAATAATAATTCACATAATTTATACAATTGTTGATTTCACAAAATCAAGAAAATGATTTCTCATAATTGTCAAAGTCTAAGAGACTTTGAAAGAAAAAAACCTGAGATCGCCCATAATGTTTAGATCACTCTTATATGAAACATTATCTTTTAGAGCGTTTTAACAGTCTAACTTAAGTACCAAAGATGGAATTAAAAACAGAGCTTCTCTCCTAAGCCATATTTATTATTCTAATATATGAACTTTCAGACTTTTCTTCTAGGCCAACTGTTAATTGGAATTTAGCAACTCATTTGTCACTGTTTTAAAATTTTAACATAGATCCATTCCTATGTTTTATCCAAAATGTACCACTTGCAAAGATGGCTAGGTTATAACCAGCAGCCCATGTAGATTTGAAGAGCAGATCTGGAATTTTTTGATTGTTATATTGCCTTTGATTGTCTCTTCTCTACCACCTATACAGGGGAAAAAAAAGTTCATGACATACTATTTTCTAATAGCAGACTTTATTGTTCATAAAATTGGAGTAAAATACACAAAATTATATTAATTTTAATAAAGGAAATATTGTTTGGTCACTTGTCTCTTCTATATATTCTCTGTTATTTCTGTTGTTATTTCTGTCTCTTTCATTACTCATAAGCCTTACAGTCATATGTGGAGCCATTTTCTTTCTCTCTCTTCCAGGATTTTAAGACAGGAAAACATCAATGGAAATACAGCTTCCTGGCACAAAGCTTCAGATAGATAGGTAGATAAAAAGTTTAGATAGAGAAATGAAGGGCTTACCCTTATTGCAGTTTATTCTGTTTACCATAATTTTACACTTAAAATCAATGTTACTAAGCAAGCAGCCATTTCATGAGGTGAATCTGGCATTTCATTAGATTTCTTCATTCAAAGGTTGTGCCAAATGGCTCTTAATTTTCCTGTAGGTAGAGACAGCAGAACTATAAAGTCTGTCATCTTTTCTATATAAGTCTGAGCTATAAATAAGTGAGCAGAGATTGTTATTTTATGTTAGTTTCCAAAAGGCACAAATGCTTTTCTGTTCTCTCCTCCAAAACTAATCCATTTTAAGCCCGCAGTTAATGGATACAATGTTGTGCCATGGATGAGGAATCACTCTGAAAATATATTAAATGCTTCTTTACTCCATAGCAATAATACAAATTTTATTTCTCTAACAACAGCTTGAAAGCAAAGAGCTAGTTGTTCAGCATTCTGGATGGATGAATACAACTGTGCCTGTTGATAAAACTGTGGGAAATAACACTTTCTTCAGCATTGCATGGAATCTATCTCAGCCCTTTTTTTTCCTGAGGGACCCTAAAGGAAAAGAATATGGAAGCTCAGACTTTACAATTGATGATTCAAACCCAAACACAGCTAGTCTCAGTATAAATGGCACTGCAGAGGTAAAGACTAAATATTTTCTTTCATTTTCTGAATTAACGTTTCCTATAGACTAGCACACAGCTTTTCTTTAATTAATTTTTTAATTTTATAAGGGACACAATGGCCCTGTTAGAACATGAAGCTTTTTTCGCTAGTGTTTTATATTTCTGTGCTTTATTTGCAGGTGGGTGATTGGCAGTTTTATGTTCAAAATGTTCATACAGCGACTCAATCTATATCAGTAACAGCTGCCTCTCGACCAGCATCTTCTGATGTTCCTCCTGTGAGCGCTGCGGTTCACATGAACAGGGCAAAGAGAGCACTGCATCCAGTTGCTGTTTACGCAGAAGTTAGGCAAGGGTTTTTGCCTGTTCTCGGTGCAACTGTGACCGCCACCATAGAGAAGGATAATGCTCCAGCAGTAATGCTTGAACTTCTTGATAATGGAGCAGGTAAGGTTCCACATACATAGTAAAAACCTTTGTGTTTAGGCATTTTGGAATCCAAAACAATAGCAAGACATTCCTAGTATTCAGCACCCCTTGATCACTTTTCCTCTCTCTTCCTTTTCTCTCACCACTGCTGCAGACCTGTATCTTTACGAGTTCAGTAGTAGCCAGCAGTGCCTCCTCATTCTGTCCTTGCTTTCACATTGTTGTACTTAAAAATACACTAGGATTTCAGTGTGTTATCATGTGTTTCTTAAACACCATCTATTTTCTGAACCCATGAGGTTATTTTTACACTGCAGGCAGGCTTCAAAATAGGTATCCTGGATGCCACCAGCAGACCACCTACTGCAGCTAGTCAGGAACACAAGTTCAGTAAAAGAGAAGGTATCCTGCCTTGATGAATTCCTGTACAAAGCTTATAATGTGACATTTTTCTGATTTAAAGGTGTTTTATGTAGTAGATGGTCAATAAATGTTAACTTGGTGGTTTCATATAGTAACAAGAGATTTACCTAATTAAAAGTGTTAATGCAACACCTTTCTTTTTAACAAAATACATATGAAATGCAGTTTGTCATAATGGGACCACTCCTGTTTTTAAAGATATCCACATTACAAAAGCACTGCCAGGCTTCCTGCGTAGTAATGTTCAGGTTTTATGTTTATGTATGAACAGCAAAAATAACCTTGTTTACCAGCAGATATCTTGAGATATTAATTCTTAATAATTCTATACCAAGGTGCTGACATTATGAAGAATGATGGAATTTACTCAAGGTACTTTACTTCTTTACAAGGCACTGGAAGATACAGTGTAAAAGTGAGTGCCCACGGGAGAAATGCAACCACTGGACTTAGCCTCAAGCAAAACCGAGCCTTGTATATACACGGCTACAGAGAAAATGGTAATGAGCGTTTCTGAAACAGACAATTCTTTGCATGATTTGGTGTAGGGGGGTGAAAATATTTAGCAAATGGGATAATATAGATTCACAAAAATTTCATTTGATGTTAAAAGATGTTCCATCTATCATTTTCACTACAAAAATGACAGCCTGCTCTCTTACCATGCAGGGGCACAGCCTGCCCCAGCCCACCCCCTCCCCACCTTTCTGCACTGACCTGGGGTTCTGCCTGGTTGTCTCTCACACCCCGCTCCTCTCTCCTGCTGCAGGTTCTCTTTGTTTTTCCCTCTGAAAGATGTTAACACAGAGGCACTGGCTGGCTCAGCCTTGGCCAGAGGCAGGTCTGACTTGCAGCTGGGGAAGCTTCTAGCAGCTTCTCACAGGAGCCATCTCAGTGGCCCCTCCACCACTACCAAAACCCCACCACACAAACCCAATACACCTATGTATGGGAACAGCATGAAATGTTGTCTTTAATCTAAGAAAGTATTTTCTCTTACAGCCATGAGAAGGATAAATGTTGCTCAGAATCTGTTTTTATATCTTCCAATAGGAATTTCAAAGCTGTAATTCTTCTTGAGACTTTGAAATGGGGATTTGGGGTAAATAAATTCAGTGTGCAACATTGATGTAAAAACTAACAATGCTAGAAAACTTAGCTTTTGAGACTTCTTAATTTTTTTAGTCCATCTTCGTCATAATGTTTAAAAAAGTGTTAGTTGTTGCAATTTAATACACTCATATTACACACTGTGAAATTTAGAAAAATCAGTATAAAAATTGTCTAAGACACTTACGGCCTGTATGACAGAAACTTTCTTAAGGCCTGCAATATGGGTGAAAAGACGCACAGAAATACCTTATTGCAGCCATGACTCGCCAATATCTGCAACCTGCTTTACTGGTTGGATCATTTCCAAGTTTTACACATTTCAGACTTTGTCTGCTTCTTGCGTTTCCTAAATTTTATGCTAAGAATCCTGAGGTCACCTTATTTTCTGTCTTTACTTCACTAACTTTTCACTAGATTTGAATAAACTTAGAGGAGGAGAAGAGATAATAAGAGATAATAAAAATTAAAAAGAAAATGCCATTCAGAGTTGTCATGATGAAAGTTGAAAAATGTTTTAAACAGGTAAAATCTATATGAATGCACCGAGACCTAAATCTGACAGTAAAGAAATCCAAGTCAAGTTGGGAAGTTTCAGCAGAATTTCGACAAGTTCTCTTGTAGTGAATACAGGAGATTATACTCCGAATTATCCACCCTGTAAAGTTACAGACCTTCATGCTCGTATAGAAAACAAAACAATAATCTTGTCTTGGACAGCTCCAGGAGGTGACTTGGACCATGGAAAAGGTGAGTCAGACACTAAATTTTTGTGAGATGAGGTTAATATTTTTATCTGAAAGGGATGAGGGCTATGTCTTTCCCACCTGAAAACGTAACCAAACAGAAAATTACCCTGTTGCACGACACCTGTTTTAATTCTTCTTATATTTTCATGTTTAAAAAAGAACAGAATCCAGGTAAACCAATGAATATTATAAACAAATCAAATATATAAAATTATAATACAACCAGAAGCTTTAGCAACAAGCCTTAGTCCATGTCGGTGCATAATTAAAAAAAAAACTCAAACAATCAGCTAACATGGACAATACAAACCTTTAGTCTATTTACAAAGATGTGAGTGGACTACAGAGATGCAGTGACGTTCTATCCAAAATACTTATTTTAAGGTTGTTGTACAGGAAAAATGAAACCTAATTCCAAGCATTTCATTGCATCAGCCAGAGACTGTATGTTCAAACATAGAAGCTACAGTTCTGCAGACTGCAGTTGCACATTACATTTATCTAAATGTAATGCAGATCTTACATTTATCTAAAATTAAGAACCAAAATTAATTTAATAACAAAAAAAACAAAGGAAAAAATATCTCAACTTCTTTGATTGCTATTTAGCAACCATGTATCTAAAAACTTGTATAGCTAAAGTTGTCAGTTATTGCATTATAGTTTAAGATAGCAGGTCCTGCACTGGTTTGGAGCTGGCCATGTCATGCACCTCTCTCTACTATCTAAAGAGGAAAAGATATTCCTAAGAGAGGGGGAAGGAGAGAAAGTCTTGAAAAGCTACAGACTTGAAATAGCTACAGCAGAAGCCTCCAACACTAATCAAACAAATTTATAGCAATGTACCTACCAGTTCTTTGATTCCAAATGGGAAAACCATTTTGTGTCTTTCACAGTTTTTGCTATCAAAGCCTCATGTTGAGACAGAACACAGATCAGGTGCAAGGCCCGCCCCCTGCTGTCCACATAAATATTTATATTACCATTTCACCTTATGCTGGTATGTGGACAGCACAGGTTCTCATTCAGCTGTATTTTGCACAGGTCTGCACAAAGCTAAGAGCCTTGGTGAAATAGTGTTTTTAAGGCCAGTGAAAAGAAGGAGTTCCCACACTCAGCAACAGTAGTCCTTGATACTGTAAAATGAGGCTTGAAAGCAAACTTGCTGCCCCTCCATGCTGAGCAACACTAAAGTCAGTACTAAAACAGGAATCATCACCACACTTTTTTTTACAGAACGGCTCTGGAAGTCCTATACTGTCACCACAAGCAGGGATATTAAAACATCTATATTAATTTCTTGTTAATGTGCATTCTTTTTTCCTTAGCTGATCACTACATAATAAAAACCAATGAAAATCTTCAGGACCTAAGAAATCACTTTCATCGTGCTACTTCTGTGAATTCCTCTTCTCTCATACCCAAGGAGGCTGGTAGAGAAGAGTCATTCACAATTGAACCAGAACATTTCACAATAGAAAACAACACCATAATCTACTTTGCTATATGTGCTGTTGACGACAGCAGGTTGATTTCCGAGGTGTCGAATATAGCACAAGCCATGTGGTTCATTCCTCCAAAAGCATCTGTGCCTTTAGATTATGACGGCATCAGTGAAGATGCTGGCAGTACAGCAACAGTGGCAGTAGTGGCTGTGTGTGCAGCAGTTGTCTGCACTATCGTAAGTTCAAGTCTGTGTGTTTTACAAAAACGAAAGGGAAAACTGGATATTGAAATGATGCAAAAGCATGTGTAAAATAAAACCAAAAAATAGAAGAAATTTAGTGTAATTTTTTAGATTATGACGGCATCAGTGAAGATGCTGGCAGTACAGCAACAGTGGCAGTAGTGGCTGTGTGTGCAGCAGTTGTCTGCACTATCGTAAGTTCAAGTCTGTGTGTTTTACAAAAACGAAAGGGAAAACTGGATATTGAAATGATGCAAAAGCATGTGTAAAATAAAACCAAAAAATAGAAGAAATTTAGTGTAATTTTTTTTTTGGAAAGAGCTACTCGTATATTCAAAAATACGGCACTGGTTTTCAACAGATGTATTTGTCTTTTTTGATAGGCTTAGAGATGTAGATTCTCAAAAGTGTGTCTTATATTCAAGTACACTTACACTGATTAAATGTTAAACATGAAAGCACATCCTCAGAAATACAGCAATATTGGCATTGGTATGATGGCAATCATACGACTGCCATCACTTGCTTCTATGTGACAGAAATACTGCTTTTGTTGGAAGAGTTTTCCAATGTCGTGTGCTTCTCTTCTTCAAATAAAGAAGGCTAAGGAATATGACACTTTCCTCATTTTTATTCTCTACGTAACAATCAAGTAAGGCAGGGTGGGAAAGAGATCAGAAATATTTTCAGGTATTGCAATGATTCCCTATGTACATTTCACATGTTTTCAGTAAGGCTTAGTGACCTGAGCACAAAAATATGTACCTCCAGGCTGACTATTTTTCAAAACATGTTTAAGTATGTATATCTACAGGTGTGTGGGAGTTGAGTATATAAATACTTTCAGAATGAGAGTTGCAGAGTATATGCAAATGCACCCATGGAAACTGTTCCTAGGTGAAGACTTGCCATGGTTTAGTCTTATCTGGCAATTAGGTACCACTCAGTTCCTCATTCACCTCACCCGCTCCCACAGTAGGGAAGGGTCAGAGGAAAAAAACCACCCCAACCAAGGGAAGCTCATAAAAGTGGAGATAAGAACTATTTAGTCATATAAACAAAACTTATTGTGATACTAACAATACTACTACTTCTAAGTATGATACATATGATACAGTATCTCACCACTCATAGACCGACACAGCCAGATCCCAAAACAGAAAGAAAATCTGAGTGGAGGCAAATCCCTGAGCCTGAGAACAGGGAGAACCCCCCACCCACCCCACCCCGAGCCTGAGATTGGGGAGAAAAAACCCCACCAACCCCCCAAAACAGTAACAAAAGAAACTGCTCCTCCTGCTAACAGCCGCACCAAGACCTAACAAAAGGAGCTAACGACCCAGCTACCAGCTAGCCCCAAAAAGCGTTAATGATCCTCCCACCGCCAGTGCCACTTTCATGCCTTCCAAACTGCACATGCACCCAGCCTGGCCACCGAGCCTGGGGTACCATGGAATGAAACAAAATCCCTTGGCCACTGTGGGCTGGCTCTTCCCTGCCTGAAACCAGCACATTCTCCACCCTTTGTTCCATACCACCTACGTCACGCTCAAGTTCCACACTATTCCATAAATGCTCATTAAGCAGCTCCCCCTTTCCCATCCCACACAGATATCATTACCTTAGTCTATGGACCATCTTAGCAAATGTCCATTAGTCCATGACTTCAGGTTCCATCAGGTGTGGGGGTCACTCAGGACAGGAACGGTGGAGTGTTGTGTGGGACTGTTGGGCACCAAAGCCAGCTCAGGTCAGGTCACTGCTGTGCTTCTGCCAAGGCTTGCCCTGGCTGGGTTCAGGTGCTTTCTGCTGTAGTGATTCCTACAACACAAAACACAGAACAGGGGTTAGTTGCAGCAGTTTAATGTCCATCATGCAATTTAACTCATGGGCTATTTTACCCCAGAATCAAATCTCCTTGAGGCACACATCGGACTTCCCCATCTTCTCTCATTACTCACCAAGTGCATCCAGGTCCTTGAGTGAAAGCAATCCCACAGAGGGGTTTGCCTTTGCCCCAGGCAGGAGTAACCCAGACTGTTTTTTCCAACACAGTTTTAGCATGAACTACAGGGACTTTATCTCCTTCTACAGTGCATAGAAGTTTTGATTGGGCAGAGCCAGTACGATTGACAGATCCCCTACTGTTGACTAACCAGGTGGGTTTTACTATATGTGTGTCCCAATGTTTAAGAGTTCCACCCCCATTGCTCTCAGGGTGGTCTTTAACAGCCCATTGCACTGTTCGACCTTCCCAGAGGCTGGTGCATGGTAAGAGATGTGATACACCCACTCAATGCCATGTTCTTCAGCCCAAGTGTCTAAGAGGCTCTTTCAGAAGTGAGTCCCACTGTCTGACTCAGTTCTTTCTGGGGTGCCATGTCACCACAGGACTTGCCTTTCAAGGCCCAGGATGGTATTTTGGGCAGTGGCATGGGGCACAGCCTGAAACCAGCACAAGACTAAACAAAGCTATAAATTTGGAATTAGAACAAACCTTTATATAACAAGAGGTAATTTAAAAGCTGCTAATGGGAGGAGTATGAGGGATACAGGGAGAAGGGTGATCTGTATGACTCTTAGGTAGCTGACCAGTGAATTAAGAACCGCCACAAACCAGAATGTTTCAGGATTCTTACATGACCAAGTACTTTTTACCTTTGCCTTCCAAAAACTGGGAAGAATGTAAAATAACAATGAAAAAATGCTAAATTCAACAGCCAAATTATCATTCACGGCCCATTATTACCCAGTAAATATACCAGGTCTAGGAAACATGAGTATTTTCCTTTACAAGCCTGCTATTATTAATGCAATTTCTGAGTTAGGTCTTTTCTCTCTGGAGAAGAGAAAGCTCAGGAAGAACCTCAATGGAGTATTCCAAAACTTAAATAGCAGCTATAGAGAGGATGGAGGCTCTCTCTTCAGAAGGGGCCACATGGAGAAGACAAGGGGCAACGGGCACAAGTTGCACTATGAGAGAGGTTTCATCTTGATGCAAGAAAGAATTTTTTTACAATGAGAACAATCAATTGCTGGAACAACCTTCCCAGGGACATGGTAGATCCCCCATCACTGGAGATTTTCAAGATGGAACTGGACAGTGTGCTAGGTAATCTCTTCTAGGCTCCCTTTTCCACGAAAGGTTGGAAGAGATGATCTTCTGAGATCTCTTCCAGCCTAGGCTGTGGTAAGATTCTATGGTTTTCCTGCACACATTAACAAATCTGTGCAAATGGTGAATAATTGTCTGAAGTTTTCTTCTCTATATCTGCAACATAAAACTTTGCCCTTTGTGCTACCTTGCCTTTTACATTTTAACAGCACTAACTTTTTAATATTTTAATGGAATTTCTCTACCTTTCCTATTTCTACACTTTACACAAGTTCTGCTTTTTTTAAATCTTGATTTCCCTTTTTTTGGGGGGGGTTTCTGTACTTCTGCATCATTCCCTTTCTTAATGAATATTACTATTGGATGTGTTTTCAGATCTAAGATTCCATTTCCCCAAGCAATAATAAATGTCATAATTTAAGTTTATATCAAGGCCAGAATAGCTGTCACACTTTAGAGAAGAGAGTCGCCTTTGGAGAAAAGAGTCAGACATCAAAGAATTATTTTCTGATGTCAGTTCCTTCTAATAATTTTTAGGTCACTGAATGTCCATTTATTCAGAAATGTTTCCCTTCTGAAGGGTCTTCTTATTCCCTAAAGCATTTCTGCTGCATACAAATTGTTGGGTAGGTACTACATCATACAATCCGAATGAATGAATTGCAGCACTATTCCTGGAACTATTTCCTAGACTTACATAAAAACATGACCAACCTTACATAGCCAATCTCCATGACTCAAGACAATGCCTTCATTACTCTGAAGGCACCGTCCTACCCGCCTGGCGAGCAGAGCCTGCTGCAGGGGTCTGCCGTGGGGCCACGCTGACATCTAGTGGGCTTCGGCAACACTTCCCGGTTTCCCAAATATCCCTCGAATCGGTTTAGCTCAAAGCATCTCTCTCCGGGATACTCTGCCCTTGATAGAAATGTATATTTAAACGTACAGTCAAATACGAATAGTCGAATATTGAATTTGGTACTTCAGGCTGGCTCTTACTATAGGCACATGAAGAACATTTACTTGAATTAGGAGCTTCAGGTTACTGAGCTCTGTCTACAGTCACAGCTCTGAAGGACTTGGTTCAGGTGACGCAGGATGCAGCGCTCTCTCAAACACCTCTGCAAAAGACAAACAATATTTGCTCTTTCATGCTTCCTGACAAGCAAGTGTAAAATGACAGGGTAAGACTGATTGATTGATTGATTTCAATGATTATGTTGACAACAACAGTATGTACGCTCAAAAACCACATGGGCTGGGGTCCCAGTCACTGACACAATTGCCACATGCCACGTCATACTAGCTGCAAAAGATGTGATAGTTAAAGTCAAACCATATAAGCTTTGTTCCTCAATGTGGCCTTCCCAATGCTCCTAAAATAATTTCGGCTTCCAACTTCCTACACAGACCTCACAGTGTTCCGCGGAGGAGGTAAGTTTAATTATTCGTATGCCACATGTGGAGAAACTGTAGCACCACGTGACAGTGACTTTTCCACAGCCATCAGCAGGGAAGCGGCAGAGCTACAAATAGACCTCCAGTCATTAAACTATCATTGCACAGTAAAAGGACAAAATGCCAAAACTTTATTTCCACAGAGGCCAGTTATGACCTATTGCATTTTCCATGCAATCTTCCAAGTATAAGACAGACCTTTCTGAGGCAGACAGCTGGGGTGTGGGACCAAATGGTTATCCCGCCTGGGTAGCAGACTAAGGCGCTACGGCTCCAAGAAGTACGGTAGTGAAAGGACAAAGATCGCCAAAACCAGCACGTGATTTACCTAGTCTAGTCCCCTGAAATGTCAGGACTTTTGCCTACTGAAAGCTTTGCCAGTTGCTGCACGCAGCCCCAGTACAACTCACTTAAGTGTTTGGGGGAAGCACAGCAACAGCTGCCGTAAGGATCAGTGGAAGAGTGCACTAATGTGAAAAGGAGCATTAATTCTCAC